GTTACTGCTATGGACAAGTGGAGCTCAATCCTACTGGGAAAGCCTTGAGAAGCCTGGTATAACATACTTCAGAACTAACCCACTGGAACACAGAGAGGTTAGGTCATTTATCTCTCTACCACCCCTGGGAGCATTAACCCTTCCATTTTTATATTAGACAAGTAAACGTAAGGTAGGGCATTAACAGCATCTATTAAAGGTATTATCTTTGTGGGTATGGACTACAGACTGGCCAGATAGAAACCATGGAAAATGTTTTCCTAATACCAGTCAAAAAACCAACACCGAGGTGAAGGAGGACCTATAAATAGTGCCTGGAACATAATAGGCATTCAGTAAATATTTGTTCATCTGAACTACAGAAGAGAAGAATCATCTAGGAATACTACTGACTAACAACAAAATACTTGCTAAAATACTGTCTTGAGTAAAGCGTAATCTGCCTTCAGAAGAAGGACTTAATTATTACCAAAGAAACATTAACTGGCAATTAGAATATGCAGGAACTTTGAAGGAATTCCACCATGTTATCCTGGAACTCAACATCAGAAAGAAAGGAGTGAGTCATGCTGCCAGGGTAGTGTCTGTCACTTGCAAAGTACTGTCCTGCCCAAGGTAATACAACTAGTAACTGGTTAGTACAGAGATTTTAAAAGCCTGAGTTTTTGAAACTTTCTAAAATCAACAACAACCACAAAACATTATTTGAAAAGGGGAGAGATTGGTTTTCTAAACAGGAATATGAGATTTTTTTAATATGAGAGAGACTTAAAATATTTATATGTTATACATATAAAAGTTGAAGATACAAGAGTGAAAAATAATAATGTCATGGAACACAGAAGAGTTGCTGGTACAAGGGAAGAAATAAGCCTTCAGGAGCAATAGAATATACTTCTTTCATAAGACAAGAAGGAATTGTGTGGCTGAACATAAATACAATGTGTGGTGGGAAGAAAGAGGATAGACAGTTGAGGAAATTGTACCTGACTGCTCCAAATGTCTTTCTAAGGTAAAAAGTGAGTTAATATGAGAATGATGGTAGAGATAATGGGGTAGCCATCGTAAGGAAAATGATGACAGGTTGAATTATCTTTTGTGTGAAATGGGAATGATCTTAGGGATGCATGAAGGATTGTTGGACAATATTGAGGACATGCTTGAAATTGAAGGATGTGAATTTATAGCAGTTCCAACCTGCAAGTGGTTGTATGGCTTTCTGCAGGAGTGTAGTTGAAGAAGCAAAGAGTTGGCAGGTTTTGCCAAGCAGATTTAATGAATGAGAGGGCATGAAAGTTGAAAGTTTCAGTAACAGGGTGGTCAAAGGTTGAAATATTAAGGAAGAAAAGATAGAACAGACTGTGAGTAATTGGAGAAGCAAAGGGGACTGACGGTTTTGATGAAGCTAAAAATGCTGGCAATAATGGAATGAGAGAATTGGAAGGAAAATAAATCATGTTCAGAGAATAGTTTGTGGAGTTCAGAATTCATGAGGCAGAATAATTCTCCAAGATGATAAGATTCAAGGTGTGGCCATGAGTGCATAGCTCAGGTGGACAGGAGAAAATGCTACTGTTGATGAAGTCAGGAGAATGAGAAGCCAAGGTGTGGGGTGGATTGTCACCATGAGCATCAACGTCCCCTATTATAAGGGCAAAGTGTGAGATGGAGAGAAAGCCATAGAGTCAGGGAACACGGTCTTCAATGAATCTTCGGGACTGACCAAAAGATTGATTCATGAGAGTGGCAGGGTAGAAGAGAAATGTTTTAGAAACAGCAATTAACTGTTAAAAAACAGTTTCTCCCTCTAGGCCCTCTGCTAGAAAGGCTGGGAAAGTGAGTCCATTAGAGAGGACTCAGAGGACGCAGAATCCTCAGAGCTTTCATTCTGAGTCCCCAGGCCTATAAAGCAAAATCCCAACTCCTTAGCATGAACCAACCACAGTGCCCTTTACAATCTGGTCCTAAACCTACCTTTTCAGGCCATTTCTTCCACCCATACCATGGATACCTCAGGACATGTTTTAGCTGACAAAATTAAAATTTAATATTGAAGTTAGAATTTAACATTTAAATGGTATTTAATTCAACCCTTTAGAGATAGGAGGATTTTTTGATGTTGGGGTTTTTTAAAACTGCTGCATGTCTACATGGGATGATACTTAAGTGAATTTAACAGTATTCAATGGGATATTATTGTTTTTGAAAGTTAACAACAAAAGCAAATACAGAGATAGATTTTTAAAAATATATCCCTTAAGGTAACTCAAAAGGTGGACATGCTTACAAATAAGCCCTTCTCACTGCCCCAGAATCCCTGTTGAAGCTGCAACTACATGGCTTCAGTCTATCAGTCAATCAATCAATAAGCAATAACTGAGCACCTACTAAAAGCAAAGAATTGTGTTTAGGTGCTGTGAGAGTTACAGAAACATAGTAAGATACAACCCTCGCTTTCATAAAGCATTCAGTGTCCTTGGAAAGAGAAGATACACACCTGAAACAACCCAAAAGACAAAATGTCATTCAGTGTCAAGGCTTGAGCTGCAAGAATTAAGAGGTAAGAAAAATCATTTGAAGAGGGCATTCAACAAACCCTTCAAGGAGAAGGCAGAACTTGACGTAAGCCTATAGCGCTCTACTACATATAGTAATAATCACCACAACAATAGTAGTAATAATAGCTATCTCTTATTGAGTGTTTTTAATATTTCAGGTATTGTGCTGAGTAATCATTTAAATTCCTCTTTCTCAAGCATTTTTCACAACGCTCTGAGGTGGCTACTACTCTTATCTCCATATTAGAGCTGAGGAACCTGAAGGTCGAGGAGTTTTAGTGACGTGCCCAAGGTAGCAAAACTAGTAAGTGGTGTACGCAGGCCTCTCTGTTGGGCCCTGGACCTGTGCTTCTCACACTGCACTGTCCTGCTTTGTGGGAGCTTTCCAGTAATACCTGATTAAGCAACTGAGAGAAAGAACAATAATAATGGCCATCATTTATTGAATGCCTAGATTATCTCTAATCCTCCATTAAGGTAGTTATGTTAGCTTCCTAGGGCTACCACAACAAAGTATTACAAACTGGATGACTTAAACAACATGAATAAATTGTCGCAACTCACAGAATGGGAGAAAATATTTCCAAACTATACCTCTGACAAAGTATTAATAACCAGAATATATAAGGAGCTCAAACAGCTCAATAGGAAAAAATCTAATAATCTGATTTTTAAATGGGCAAAAGATCTCAATAGACATTTTTCAAAAGAAGGCATGGAAATGGCAAACAGACATATGAAAAGCTGTTCAGTATCACTGATCATCAGGGAAATGTAAATCAAAATTACAATAAGATATCTTCTCACCCCAGTTAAAATAGCTTACATCCAAAATATAGGCAATAACAAATGCTGGAGAGGATGTGGACAGAGGGGAACCCTCATACACTGTTGGTGGGAATGTAAATTAGTACAACCACTATGGAGAACAGGATGGGGGTTCCTCAAAAAACTAAAAATAGAGCTACCATACCATCCAGCAATCCCACTGCTGAGTTGTATACTCAAAAGGAAGGAAATCAACATACTGAAGATGTTATTGTACTTCCATGTTTATTGCAGCACTATTCACAATAGCTATGATATGGAAGCAACCTAAGTGTTCATCAACAGATGAATGGATAAAGAAAATGTGGCACATACACACAATAGAGTACTATTCAGCCATATGAATTTCTGTCATTTGCAACAACATGGGTAGAAAGGGAGATCACTGTTAAGTGAAATCAGTTGGACATATTAAGACAAATATATCATGATCTTATTTGTAGGATCTAAAAATCAAAACATTTGAACCCATGGAGATAGAAAGTAGAAGGATGTTTACCAGGGGGTGGGAAGGGTAATGGGGGTGGAGATGAAGTGGGGATGGTAAATGGGTACAAGAATATACTTAGGTAGAATGAAAACTAGTATTTGATAGTATAACGGTGATTACAGTCAACAAGATTTTATTGTACATTTTTAAATAACTACAGGGTATAATTGAAATGTTTGTAACATAAAGAAATGATGAATGCTTGAGATAGTTAGTAGATACCCCATTTACCCTGATGTGATTGTACATTGCATGCTTGTATCAAAATATCACATGTACCCCATAAATATATACACCTACTAAGTACCCATAAAATTGAAAATTAAAACATTTTTTAAAACTATAAAAGAAAGAAATTGCGTCACAGGTCTGGTGGCTAGAAGTTCAAGGTCAAGGTATTGGTAAGATTGATTCCTACAGAGGGCTGTGAGGGAGACTCTGTTCCACTTCTCTCTTCTAGCTTCTTGTGGTTTGCTGCAATCTTAATCATTCCTGGCTTATAGGAATGATAAAGCCAGGAATGATAACAACTGATCAGAAATGAAGACTGATTTTTGTCTTCATATCCAAATGGTGTGCTCTGTGTGTGTATGTCTATCCTTCAATTTCCCCTTTTTATAAGGACATCGGTTGTATTAGTCAGGGTTCTACAGAGAAACAGAACCAATATGACATATATAGATTTGTAGATTAGAGAGAGGATTTATTAGGGAAATTGGCTCATGTGATTACAGAGGCTGAGAAGTCCCATGTTATGCCAACTGTAAGCTGAAGAATGAAGAAAGCTGGTAGCTTGGCTCAGTCTAATTCTAAAGGCTGACAACCTGAGGGGTGGCTGGCGCAAGTCCTGAAGTCTGAAGACCAGAGAACCTCGAGTTCAAGTCCTGGAGTCTGAAGCCAGAGAACTTCGAGTTCTGATGTCCAAAGGCAGGAGAACATGGGAGTCCCATCTCCAGAAGAAAGAGAGATCACATGTTCCTTTCTTTTACCTTTTGTTCTATCCAGACCCTTAGCTGATTGGATGGTGCCTGCCTACATTGGGTGAGGGCAGACCTTCCTTAATCAGTCCACTGATTCAAATACTAACCTCTTTTTGAAACACTGTCATAAACATGAGTGAAAACACATACTCAGAAATAATGCTTTACCAGCTATCTGTGTGTCCTTTAATCCAGTTAAGTTGACACCCAAAATTAATCATCATGCCAGTGATATTAGACGAAGGTCCACTCTAAAGACTTTATTTTAACTTGATCATCTACAAAGATGCTATTTCCTAACCACATCACATTCACACGTACTGGGGGTTAAGACTTCAACAGAAATTTAGAGAAACACAATTTAACTCATAATATTAGGCATCATTATCCTATTTACAGATGTCAAAAATGTTAAATAACTTGTCTAAGCTCATACAGCTGCTATATGCTAGAGCTAGGGATTCAAAACAGAGTCCTACTAGCTCCAAAACATTTGTCCTCTGCCTCCCCCTGACATAAATCTGATCAGGTAGCTTCTTTGCTTAAAATCTTTCTTTCCTCTCCAAGGCCAAGCCTGACCTGTAAGTAGCCCCAGGCAAGTGTTCTGGGCTTGGCTTGAATGTTCTAGTCTGCAAAACCCATTCCTACCCAGCTTGTGGTAATAGCTGGGCTTCTGCCCCCTTCCAAGAGCACTTCCATCCCTACATTAGATTCAAGTTTAGTAATAATGTCAGTCAGTGTACCTTCACAAACATTGCCTTATTTGATTCCTATAAATCAACCTTGTGAGCTGATGTTGAAGAGTCTCCATTTGCCAGATGAGGAACCTGAGACTCAAAATGACTAAATGACTTGGCCAATTTTACAGAGGTCTTAAATGGCATTGCTGTGATTTGAACTCAAGACTGTCATGCTCTAAGCAAAGTCAATGCTCCCTCCACCACACCACCCTGGACTCGAGTCTGTGCCAAACTGAGCTAGTGCTCCTGGTGTTTGAGGCCTGGGGAGAGGTTCCCTAGGACTTGACATTGAGTTCTAGCCCAGAGCCTGGGGCCCTGCTGCCTTCTGTCAGCCTACCCTGATGCCCATCCTCTGCCCATTGGAGTCCCTCTCATCTAGAGCTGAACATGTTCCCTTAGTACTTACTCTCCCAGAGAACAGTAGTAATTCCATACCACAGTCCCTCCCAGGCAGTTTCATTCCATTGCTATGAACTGGTCCCTGCTGGCTATATCCCAGCACATAACACAGCTGAGCGAATGCCTAGTCTATGACCCTGTTGAGTGAATAGAGCTGTTGCTGCTAACCTCGCTGTTACCCCTGGGCACCTCTGCCTAGGCAGGAAGCACAGGAAGCTGCAGCAGTGTCAGCCTCAGCATGCTGCCTGAAAAGGCACCCTCTCTTTCCCTCCCCTCACTGCCCCAGAACTAAGTGCCAGATCCAAGCCAATGAGGGTATTTTCTAGGATAGCATTCTGAAACAAGTACAGTGTCAGCAGGAAGGAGACAAGTTTAGGGAACTAGTGAAGGTGGGGGATGAGCCCCCAGAGTTGCTGGGCACTAGGCATCAAATAGGAGGAGACAGGAGAAGAGAGAGATAAAGTGAGGGGAGCAGCATAAAACCAGAAGAGATGAAGGAAGGGGGAGAAAAGGCTAGAAAGTTCTGCTTGAAGTCAGACTCCCAGTAACTCTGAATTCTTTAAGGGTTTTCATGTGATCCCACTAAATGGTGTGGCTCTACCAGAGCAACAGGACCACCTGGGTCCCCAGAACTCCCCATGGCTCCAAGCATGTTCCTCATTGCCATATGGGCTGTGGCCATATTCTTCCCGAGCTGCAGCCTCCAGATAACAGTTTCTAACATCTGGCCTCAGTGTGAGATACCAGGGCCCTTTTTACAACAGGCACATAATTTTTTTCTGTAAAGATATTATGGGTCTAAAGAGCTTGGGATACTTGGATCTGCGACTGGACATTCCGCTGGCATGGATTCTGGCAGGAAAGACTCAGACTGGGCGATAGTCCAGGGCAGACAGTGCTGGCTGGAATCCCAGTTCCCTGACCTGGCCCACTGCCCTCCTTGGCTATCAGACAATGTTCACAGAGCCTGCGGACATCTGTATGCCCATAGAAACAGCTAGGGAGCTGCAGGACCTGGAGACACAAGAGGTTCCCCTTTGTCTCCTTCTGTCCTCACTAATGGCCCTTCCCAGCACAGCAGCTGGGTGTTTGGGAAAAGAGGTGGGGGAGGGATTGGCCTCTGACCAGAGAAATACAAGGCTGCTCTTAAAGACGTGGCCCAGCTAGTGTGAGTAAACACACAGGTGCACATTGTTGGCTTTGACACTCACGTACACTTGGTCCCTGGCCAAGGTAAGAGCTGTAAAATGTAGCCAGGCCAGGGTAGCCCTACCCGCATTTTTGGAGGACATGCCAATTTGGCTCCCAACCCTGTGACACTGCTAGGATGTGATCCCCAGAAGGCACAGAATTCCCACCACATCCGATGAACTCTTGGCATGATCCAGTGAAGCTTATACATGTTATTCCATCTGTCAGCATTGTCACATAACATGCCCATCCACATGGGCAGTTCTCCTTCAATGTCTTTGGCCTTCTCCGTGATACTCATTTCATTCAGTTACCACTTTCCTTGGGGAGCTCAGTCAGTCACACCACCCCACCCCTCACTCTCTACACTCTTCTTTCCATTGTCTACACCCCACTCCATCCCCCTTTTCCTAATACACACACATAAACACACCCATAAACACACACACACACACTCATAGTTTATTACAAGGCCAGTAAAAGTGGATTATTTTGTGCCATACATTCTAGGGGCTATTTGTGTTTTCAATGCCCCGTCATCGAGCACGGGTATGTCCCTATAGTTCTGTGCCTCCCTGCTCCAAGTTTTGTGGCAGATTAAGGATAAGATATCCACCCCCTTCCAAATAGTCATGGATTCAACCCCACAGTAAAGGAAACAACCTTCAGAGATGTAGGATGCTTTAACTGCCCAAGTGCTTCACAGTGACCTCGTGTGGATGGATGGTAGGGCATCTTGGGTTGGTATTGACAGGGGAGGAAACTGTCAATATCAACCTAAGAGAGGGGTTAAGTCACTTGCTCACACAATTAGTGAAAGTAGCAGAGATTGAGCTCTGATCTGATGCTTTTTCTTCTCTGCTTTTAAACCACATTATTTCTCCAGAGACAAAGCCAACAAAAGTGCGGTGCAAACACCAGTGCCAGTGTGAGAACTGTTCGTTAGTGGTCCATGACGAAATAAGGAGCTTGTGCCAGAATGTAAATCAATTCACTACTTCCTTCATCAACAATCTTGCTGAGAAAATAAAATGTCAGCTGAACTAAACAGGATGCATAGTGATAGCTGATTTACATTGGGACAAACTCTGTAGCTCAATGCCATCCCTGTGTCCAGCAGCGCTGGTGCTGATGACTGTCCAACATGAGGTGGGATCTACTGCAGAACTGTGCCTCACCTGTGTTAGAGGAACGGCTTGTGATAGAGGCTGGAGTCACAGGTCACATGGTTATGGAATAATCACAGCCCCTTAGGACTGAAAATGGCTCTGCACAGCCAAATCTAGTTCCTGGCTGCCCAAACCCAACCCTATAGATTGGGATTACTCAAAGACCCAGACTGCAACAGTTTGTTAAGTTTCTATACCTGTCATGTGGCTGTTCCAGTCATGGCTCTTTTGACCCTCAAGTCCATTTCTAGCTTTTTTGCCTATTTTGCTTTGCATGGTAGGGAGTCTGACCGCTTCAGGCTCTTTCCCAGGCTGACTTTTTGCTGGGTCTAGCCAATGGGAGACACTCACTGGAGAAAGGAGGGGAAAAGAAAAAAGAAGCCAGATAATTTCTTTCCTCTGCTTCTCTGTGTCCCAGAGTAACCAACTTGTCTCAGTTTGTCCAGGATTCTTGTGGTTTCAGCAGAGAGGTCCATGTCCCAGGTAGCCCTGAAAGTATCTCTGATTCAAGCAGTTTCTCCTCCAAGGCTGAATCTCTTCTGTGGCTCCGGCCCCTGCTGGTGGCCCCTCCTTCCCCTGCCCCAGATATTGGCACTGTGATTCTAGCTTCCACTGGGTGATCCCAGCCCCTGGTTCTGTACCACTGTCCCCTCCCTTTGTCCCTCCAGCATATGGGTGTTAGCGGCTTCCTGCTACTACTAGTGTCCAGGTTGTCTCTTCAATCCCTTTTGGCTTCTCAGGTCTTCCCTCAACTGCGTCACCAGTTTCAGGCATTAAATTCTCACTGTTTACACTTGAAGTGGTTTCTGTTTTATTGCTTAGATTCTGACAATAGTACTTACTTTATAGTGTTATCATGAGGATTAAATTAGTTAAATAAACCACTTACAGCAGTGCTTGAAACATGGTAATTGCTTGTTAAATGTGAGCTGCTGTTATTATTAGTGTAGTGTGAAATAACATTTACCACACATTTGCCACGTGCCAGGCTAATCACTTTACACCCATGATCGTATTTAAGCCTTATAACCCTTCTACCTGGGTGAACGTTGTTCTTGAGCTAATTGTTTAGGAAACCTGTTTGCATTTCACAGCTAGGAATTCCCAGGCTCTTCTGAACCACTCCCCTTGGTGAACCCAACCATATTCCTTATTTGCTGAGCATTCTCTCAGGCTTTCAGGACACAAAGAGGAATGAAATGGTAACAGGGGATACAGTCTAGTGGGAAAGACTGGTATGTCAGCCAATTGATTCATCCCAGCACAGACTGGGCAGTGCAACCCAGAGACAGCAGCAGTGTGACAAAGTAGGGAAGAGCATGAGCTCTGGGTTTGGGCTTGACTGAGTTTGGACCTAGGCTCTACATCTACAAATTAATACATCTACGTCCACCTATCATAAGGTAGGGAAGTCATTTTTAACCTCTCTGTGCTTCAGTCTCCTCACATGGCAAAATTCCTCATTTTATCATATCTATCCCAGAGGGGTTATTTTGAGGACCAATGAGTTGGTATTTTTCAAGTATTTAGAATATGCATTAAATATGATGTCTTTCTTAAGCGAAAATAAAATTAGTAAGCTGGACCAATTGTAGGGGGAACCCAGAGGACGGTGTCACTTGATTCTGCCTACAAGTATTCAGGAAGGCTTCACAAAGGAGGTGACATTGGAGTGGGATCTTAAATAAGGAGTGCAAGTTTTCCAGATAAAGAAGAAAGCATCCCAAGTCATC